TCTTGGTACCCTCTTTGCGGCCGTAACAGCCTTAGTCATAATGGTGATTATCAGAATGAAGCAGAGCGTCATAATGATAGACCCTCCCTTCCCTCAGCCTGCCTGAGGAGCACTGCCCAGCTTCATTTCGGCTTTGAGCAACCTGGACCGCTGAGGTCTTAAAACTCAGGACTCATGCTCGTGACATTTTGTGCGTGAGGTAGGGTTCAGGGAACAGGATTCAAGCTAGGAATGCAAGAGCTCAGATAATCAAGATCTGGGCCATTGTTTTCAGGATGATCAAAGCAACATGCTGAGATATCTGAGTCTGAGATATCAGCCTCGATGCTGGGCTCTAAGGGACCCTGCCCTTCCTTATGCTGAGCATGGGAGAATGCATCCCGATAGCAGCCCATATATACCCCTAAAATCTGTTCCCTGCAACAATCCCACAATCCCATTATCGCGACGTAAACCCGAAACCCTGAACCCCCAAGCGCAAACCCTAAGCCCTAAGCTCTCAACCCCCTGACCCTGAATAGTCTTAAATGTAACAAAGTACGATTAGATCCTAAACCCTGAACAGTAGTTTCCATGTAATTTCCATGTGCTTGTCCAGCTGAGTCTCCAGTATTACCGTGTTGTATCATCCCTTCTTTAATCCAACAGGTAAGCTCACAATAGTAATAATAAAAGCAAAAAATGAAAAATAGAAATAATGGTCATGATAGAAATATTTTTGATGAAAGCAGTAACAGTAGTAATAAACACGACTGCAATAACAATTAGAATAGTAGTGATGATAATAGTAGAACTGAGGCGCAGACTCTGCGTCGCTTCTCTGTGCCGCTTTAGCCTGGCGAACATGGGACGTAGGGAGTCATCCCGTCCCCTTGGGTTCGGGGTTTAAGGTTTAGGGTTTGGGGTTTAGGGTTTGGGATTTAGGGTTTGGGGTTGGCCTCCCGCGAATGTCAACGACCCCACCCCCGAGAGATTACATGTTGCCAGTATATCATAGCATACTATATAGGCAATATGGGGGTTACAAAGGGTGCTAATATAGGTAAAGGAAATAGTTGAGAAACTTCGACATCTTTGCGGACTCCTTACGTCAGGAATGCGGGTGCGCAATGCAGCTGGTAAGCATGTCAGGAAGGGGCCACTGGAGTGATCCCGATCCTAAAGCTCTGATCTTGGTAGAGTATAGTATAGTATAGCATACTAAATTATACACCACACTATGAAATTCTCAACCCCTGAACTTTCGGCCTGCAAGACCTACAACCTTTCACAATCAGCGGTCCCAGCAACGCTGGAAGAGAGATGTTAGAAGAGGAGAGCAGGTTTAACGAAGAGTATACACCAAATGATCCCCGACAGCCCATGTTCACACCTCAGTATGGAAGGCGGAACCTGTGATTGAAGCGCTCCAGGCCACACCATGTTGAAACCCTGAATCCCAACTCTCCGCAACTCCTATATGGTCCTGGTGTACTGCAGCTCCCAATCACCTTAACAAAAAACAGCAACCCTTCATACATTCCTTTTGTCACCCAAGGCCCGGCCAAACGGCGGTTCTGCTCCCTGAGGCGGGAGAGCTCCCTCTCGGCAGCCTAAAGTGGCCAGCAGGGTTGAAGGAAAAGGGTGTTGGGGGCTTACGCATTTGAGGGTTTCAGAGCTTCAGGGAGATGTTGAAGATCTTCTAGGGCTTCACTGCTGCAGGGCATTGGGCTTGAAAGCTTTTGCAATTAAGGTGTTGGATGCTGAGGATTTATCATGGTTCAAGCATGGAAGGAACAGGAAGAACAAAAAAATCAATCATAGTAATAAGTTGAGGATGCATTTCTGGGGTCTTGCCATTCTGAGGGGTTGGTGAGTTTGGGGAATCCGATGGCTGATCAAGTTTGACGTGGTACATTCGTGGTCTGGAACAGAATGTGGCTTTTCGCTTCAGCGCTCTGGGGGACGGAATCGGCACGATGAAGCAAGGTGCACGCATGTTGGGCTTCAGGTGCAGGCACTGTCATCTTAGAACCCTCTGACCCTTTGCCAAACTCCTAACAAGGACATCAAGGATTCGCCCACCAACATGACTGCGAACTGCACCAAACTTGGTATTGAAAAATGAATGGCTATACAGGGAAGTTCCCGCATTCTGTGCATTCCATTGCATTTTCCATGCTCCTTCCGTTTTGTTCTCCACAGTATTGGGGCAGCATGAGGAAGAATATTCCCCGAAATCCAATTTATTTCCCACATAAATTCCCTATAGTCTCCGTGGGGCTGCTGCAAGTACCGTGCGGGACTCCGCCGCGAGCTTCACATTTGCGTCGCGACCACTCAGCTGC